ACGTCACTGTCGTGAGACATTCTCGCAAAAAATCACGGTTTTAGTAACGCAGTAACGCAGCGTTCCTACGGGAAAGTAACGGTAATCTAATTACCGTTTTTGCAATAGTAATCCCTTACTTTACTCATTACTGCAATCTGATTACTTTTTTCAAGTAACGCGCCCATCTCTGGCCATGGTTGTTGTCCAACACAACCGTCCTTATGGTTTACAGAGAAAAAGAGTAAACCTCAAGTGAGCGACAGTTCTCTGGCAGGAAGTGTCATGTTTGTTCTAGAGGTCAGAGGAGAACGACCAGTCTGCTGAACAGTGATGCAAAAGAGCATTTCTAAATGGACAACACATTGAACTTGAAGCACATGAACTGTAGCAGCAAAAGACCACACTGACTGCCACTCCTTCCAGCTGAGAACAGGAAACTGAGGCTGCAATTCACACCTACTCTTTAAAATAGGAAAACAGAAGATTTAAAAAACAATAAAGCATTTCCTCATCAGATGAGTTTTGATTTCTGCAACATGCAGAATTTGGTGTAAACAGCATGAAAGCATAGATTACTTGTATCAAATGATCAGGCTGCTGGTGGTGATGCAATGGTGTCGGGTATTTTCTGGGACACTTGGACACCATGTCCATCCCTTCATCATCACTGTGTACCCTACTGATGGAAGCTTCCATTAGAAAGACATGCTATTTTACAAAGCTCAAATAATCTCAAAGTGGCTTCTTGAACTCGGAGTGAGTTCACTGTAACGAAATAGCCTCCACAGTCAGCAGATCTTAAATCCATCACCTCTGGCATGTGGTGGAACGGGACAAATCTGCAGCAACTGTGTAATGTGGATGTTTCAAGCAGCAGTCTATGGCACAAAGAGCTGGTAAAGTCCACTGAGTATAAAATAAGAGTGTGCTGGCATTTAAAACCTTTTTTTCCCCTTGTGGCATCATGGCATGTGTTCCGGGTGGCATTATCACAGTACTTGGCCATTACTTGACATAATAATGTTTTCAGTGTCTTTTGAAGTATCAAATCCAAGTCTGTGCTTCTTGAATCTCCACATAGCATTTTTGTTTTTCATTTCTACCCAGCCTGGTCATGCTAATAAAAGAACACAAATGCATTCTATAGCGGTTACATGTGTCAAGTGAGCTGAAATCTAATCATAAAATAAGCTGTGAGTCATCGCTCAAGTGCATGATGCTGTAATTGTTCTCATGAAGTTGTTCCTGACTTTGGAATTAGCGCGCTGATTACCGAGCCTCCCGCTGCGCCGCCGTGGTTTCGTTATCCACCACACTGGCAGACACCAGCCTACTTTGTGTAAGAACAGGGCACAAGTGCAGCATTTGTAACTGGACAGCCAGTCCAGGCAGCTCTCAGTAACAAAATGAATAGAGGAGGCAGAGCTGGCCCCTCTGTTTTCAGTGCAGGCAGCTTGATGTCTATTGCAGCTGACTGCTCTTCAAAAGGATGAGCCATTCGTCAAAGATACCACACGAAAGGTGGCTCCATGCTGGACCAGAGCCAGGCTGTCTTTGTCTCTGTCATGCACACATATACAGAGCCCAGACACATGCGCGCACACACCACACACACATATTCCAGCTTTTCACATTTTGCAGTAGCAGCAGAAGCTAGCTGAGCACGGATTGGCTGACGAGTGATCCTGAAGTGTGGTGAAACTCTGTTCAGTAAGTGACAGGAAGGCGGCTGCCAGAATGAATGAGCCCCCCTTGAAACCTTTACCGTCATGCTGTGATGCCACTCGCTGCGATGTGGCATTAACCGCAACAAACACTTAAGCAGGAAAGAGTGTGAGATGTGCAGCTGCGGCTTTTCCGTCTGGATCTTTGGAGATCTGTGTCATGGTAAATGTCAGTTGTCTTTTCGTAGTTTGGGGAAGTGTTTGAATTTGAAAAGAGCTTCTTTTAATATTTTCAAAATGCCTCATTTCCAAGCCATGTTCCCTGTGGTAAATGTCAGCTATTCCAGACTGCTGTGCCATTTCTGTCCAGTTTTGTCTGATCCCTGTGCCGCACTGACTTTCAGTAATAGTGGTGGTCATAACAATTTTCATCTATTAATTCAGCTCCTCACCTCCTGCGCACTTGTGCACTTTCAGCTTCAATGTGGCTTCCAAAACTGTCATAACTTACAGTAAAAAAAATTGCTTTTAAATGTGACCCCACAGATAAGCAGCACACAGTTAAGTACATTTATCTGTCTTCTGGCTTTGGATTGCAGTGTCCTCTTCTAAACTTCCTTTGATCTCAACTCCATAAAAGCTGGAGAAAGTTTGTTTTTAAATGTCAGTCGGGATGTGAGATCAGCCATCATTTGCCTTTATATTATGCTTCTGAGCTTTAAGTAGTATTTATAGACTATCAGTAGGAGGGAACAAATGTTTTTAACCATATTGTGTCTAATTAAGTGGCAAATTTTAAATTATGTTCATTCTTCTAATCATAAATACAGATCACACTCCGAGAGTAGTTGTCCTAACTGTTAATTTCATCCATACCAAATCTCTGAATCATCGTTACGTTTTAAACCATCTTAATAACGAAAGCATTACCTAAGTCCTGCCACGGCACACCGAGCGATGGTAAAACAAACAGAGCTGCGTCAGCATGTTTCTGTCTGGAGGCGTATTGTTGAATCTAAACTTTATTTCCTTAACGACAATCCAGACCGGCCTCGTCAGTTTTGTAAATTGGCAGTTCATTAAATGCAAATGTTTTACACGTTTGCATGTTTTACCTTTACACTAAAGGTCAGAGAAGCAATTCGAGGTTTTTTATGTGGATTATCATGAAATGTCTTATTGGTTTGTATTTGATAAAACAGGTTGTATGTTGTCCATGAACTAAAATCACTTTTATACTTGTGTGTGTGAGTGAGAGAGAGAGAGAGATTCTGTGCAACTGGCAGATACTAAGATTTTTTGCAGAGATGTCACTCATGTGCACGCTTTGGTCTTGTGGTTTGTCCCGTATCCAGCACTATTGGGAGCGCCAAATATTCATATAACACTTGCTCACACTCTGCATAAGCTGGTGCACACACACACACAAACACACACACACATTTACATGTGACCCAGGAAAACATTCCTAGACTCATGACCAGAACGTCTGGAGGGATGACCTCATTTTCACTCATTTTTTTCCCCTTTCTTCTCTTTTTGATACACGCGGATATTAATCATTCTTTACTAAAGTGAAGCTGAGCTCTTCTGTATTTTACTCTGGTCTGTCTAATATTTGGAAAAGTGGACCCACAGCTTCAGATATTTCACTGTTTTGTCATATTGGGGTTGCTGTGAAGATCGAAGTGGCAAAATCCCAGAGCGACTCCAGACTTCTGAGGAGCTTCTTCTCATCAAGCAAAGACAGCTTTCTGAGAGATGGAAATGAGAACAGTTTGGCCGGCCCGCTGTCAAACTGATGCATCCAGTCTATTCCACTGCTTTTGTTTTGTTCTCTGTCATTTCTGCAAAGATTAGGGCTGGTTTTGGGAAAATGCTTGTGTGCACACACTTGAAAATTTGCACCTCTGGTATGTTTTCTTATCACAAATTTATTAATAGGCCTTTTTTCTGGAAACTTAAAAGTTGCGTCATTTTTAAGAGGGGTGAGTAATCACATTCGCTTCTAATGAGAAATGTTTTGAAGCCTTTGCAGCAGTTTGTGGGAAAAGTCTCAATACACCTGTTGAAAATCTTAAGCTTCTAGTTTTTTAGTGTCTATTTCAGACCCTGGCTATTTGAAGCCGTTTCTTGCTGTGTTAAGGAGGATGCTGGTAGGCTGAATCTGTTTCCGGCGTCTGATTGTACCATGTTGTACCACGTGTGTGTATGTGTGTGAGTAGCCTCTCTCTGTATCTGGAGACTGGAAAAGTATGCAGATCCAAATCTCTCAGGAAGGCAGCTTTAATCCCCTCTTTTGTTGCATCCACATGAGACGGCTGTAAATGGAAATCAGGCTGGGGTTTTTTTCTACAGCGTCTGCCTCGGACAAAAGGCGAGAGGTGCTCAGGAAGTTAGAGATTTGATCATCAGACTGTGTGTGTGTGCGTGTGCGTGTGTGTGTGTGTGTGTGTGTGCAAGAGAGAATATTTTACATTTTATTTGCTTGGATTGTCAGGAAAACCTTATCATAAATTCCTTTCAATTGATTTAACTGCTCTCTTTGATGTTACTTGAGCTGTAGATGGTATGCTAATGGCCTCTGCAATTCTTTGAGAAATGTCAGGGAGTTCAACATATTAAACAGCATTGATTTCTCCAGATAAAAAAAAAATATATATATATATATGAATAAATATCTTGTACACACTGTATTATAAGCTTGGCTGCATAACAAAATGTAAACAGCATAAATAGAGTATAAGTGTATACTTCTGCCTACTTCTTTTCAAACAAAAAAATGGAATGATATTTTGTAATGATTGTGAATGTACATGTTTGAAATAAAAAGGAACTGAACTGAAGAGTTGACATTTATCACCTTTATAGCATTAGCAAACTTTTTGTGTGTGTCTGTTTCAGGGATCTTTGGTCAGAAGCTGGAAGAGACCGTGCGGTATGAACGCCGGTTTGGGAACAAGCTCGCCCCTATGCTGGTAGAGCAGTGTGTGGATTTCATTCGGCAGAGGGGTCTTCAGGAAGAGGGCCTTTTCAGGCTGCCAGGACAGGCCAACCTGGTCAAAGAGCTGCAGGATGCCTTTGACTGTGGAGAGAAGCCCTCTTTTGATTGGTAAGCAGAAATGTGCCCGTACAGGCTGGTTTAGATTTCCTCAGTGCGTTTTAATGTCGACTTGATACGTTCGGCTCGGGGAGTTGAAATGCAAAAAAAGTGGGCGGGTTAGTACAGGGTTCAGTTGTATCTGCTTAGAGAAACTTGAGTGATACAGCTGCTTGAAACCTGTATCAATTATGAAAGACATAATTATTTAATTTAGGAATATTTAATATGTATCTTAAGTCTGAGCAATATGATAATTGAAGCTTGGCAAAAACATTATTGGTTATGATTTATTAAACTGAGGATAAGTACCTGAATAAGTATCAAGCTGCTTGAACAGCGCTATCACAAAGACCAATGTGGTAAATCCATGATAGTTAAAATGTATGATAACTCCCCTCCATGCAGGGAGAGGTCATCCTCATATTTGCACACTATCTGTCCGCTATCTGTTGCAGGCACTATATTCATACCTGACCTGGTGAGATGTCTCTTGCATACGATGATGTATCAGAACAAATTTCCTCAGCTCTTTTCATGTCTTATATTTAAAACACAGCCTCATTGTTCAACCATCTTTACTGTGGGAGTTCTGCAGGTCTCCCAAATTCTGTCATAATTCATATTAGCACTTGGCCTCCTTTGGTTGTCTTCTTCTGCATGGCTAATGTCCAATTTGTCAGTTTTATGGTTACCACTTGGAGGTCAGTCTCAGGTCATTCTGGTGGAATGTTAGCTTGTGAGATGAAGCTGTCATCGTTATCAAACATGGGTGTTTAACTTGCCAGTTTTCATTTTGTCCCTCTGAACACAACAGCTTGAATATCGCCTCATTACATTAGAGAAAACACAACTCTGTTGTTGGTTATTTGTGTGTTGCGTTTTGCCACACGTTATTCGGATTTCAAATAATCAAAACTGAACCGGTTTTGCATTTTTGAGCACAACCACACAGATAATAAACAAATGCAGGCAGTTACCTTATTATATAATAAGTTTTAAGGACCCATATGCCCCTTGACCTCCTTAACAGGTATTTTCTGTTGCTGAATTAGACCTCCGGACTGAGTGGGTGTGTGGAGAGCACAGAAAGCGGCACAGCTCAGTTCATTGACGTGTCTGCTCAGAGGAACATTTTTGTGCACAAATGAGTTTTTCTGTGTCCCATCAGACCAAAGTCATCATCTTGATTGGAGCTTACTGAATTCCACCAAATTTCTGCTAAATCTAAATCAAAGACAAATTATTCTGTCCAGTATGATGAAAACAAGAATGCAACAGTTTGCTCCTAACCATCATTACGGAGCAATAATAGACAAAAAATAAGAGTCTGAGCAGTACAGTGGTGATGACATTAGCACTGCCGCCTCACAGAAAAAAAGATTTCGACTCAACCCTGCCTCTCACCCAGTGACAGCTGGTACAGGTGCCAACCTCCCATTATCCTGCATTGGATAAGCACTTAACAGGACATATAGGTGGATGGAAACTTTGATGATATGTTAGTTTGTGAGATAGCACCACTTTGTCAGGGAAAAAGGGGTGTGCCCTGGACAAGATTGACAGTCCAGCACAGTGTTAACACAGAGAGGCAGACAACCAGTCGCAATATTCATTCCCAGTTTACAATCACCAGTTAAAGGTTTGAGCCCTCTGAAAAATCCCAAGTAGGGCTGGAAAACTTAACATAGAAGTAGGGATGTCACAATATCAGAAATGTGTTTGCTAAAGAAGTGTTTGCAGAGTAGCCAAGTGACAGTACGAGGTATAATATGAGCTTATTTTAAAGCATTTCATGTTAACCGATGGAGTCATGAACGGATGGATGGAAGTTAGCCAATGCCGTCCATTTAGCGTATTGAAAATAGTTGATTGTACAACAGCAAAACTGTCTCAAACTTAATGGCAATCTGTATCTTAAACTTGTGTAAATGTAAACTGCCCCCATCTGGTTCCAGAGTAACAGCAGCCTCAGTACGTATGCTGCACAGGGTATCTAAAACAAAACAAGAAGCGCCACTTTGTCCAAATTTTTGTATTTAAATGTAGATCGGTTCTACAGATCTCGGAAGGGCTCTAACCAGAAAAAAAAAGTGCTGTAGACACCAGTTTCACAGCACAAGGTAAAAATATCCAAGATAATCAACTTATTTCCTATTTGTACAACTGAAAGTATGTCTGGACTTGAACTCAGATTTTGGGAAGTTAAAACAATGTTGCAAAATGGACAAATGCGTGCTCTAACATTTGAGGATATATAAAAACAACAGAAATATGGAAGTTGGAATTGCAGGTTGTGTTTGTTATTGTAAAATGTTAAATAGCAGTCTAAAAGTAATTAATTACTTGAAAAGTAACTATTGCGTTACTTTTTAAAAAATGTAACCCTCTGTGGGGTCCAGGGTATAATTGGCCATTTTTCACTACTTTTGATTAAACCTCTACATTTCACCTTTAAAAACTATTTACTTTGCCTTGTTTGGTGTCATTCTTTTCAGCACAACCTCACATGTCTGAATTTACAGTTATGTTTTCATTTTGACAAACTGTATTAACACAATTGATCATAAATCAGACAAAAAACATAAATTCCAAGTAGAAAAGGTTTTTTACTGTAACAGCCACAAACATGTTTATTTAATCATATTTCATAACTTTAAATGCAAATATAAATTGTCAATTTAAAATCCTATGCACAGGTCTTGCAAACAAAGTTGTTTGCGGTCATTTACCTTTTACCCTTTTTTAAATAACCATTTCAAACTATTTACAGAACAATCAGCTGTTCTGAATCAATAAGATGCCGCACAAAATATTTGTGCCACTCCAAGAAAATAATTTTTGTCCACTATAAAGGAGAACATCACAGCCTGATACCTGCAGGTCTGACAGCAGCAGGTGTATCACTCCTCCTGTTTTTTACCTGGAGACGGCAGTCGCCTCATTGTTCTGACACACAACACAAAACTATCCACAACACTACACACTAACTACACAAGACAACACATTAACTACACACTACAAACACGCTAAACGTCACAAACGCCATCACTCCTAAAACTTCCCCCTCTTTCTACACAACCAAATGTCTTGGTGCCATATCATTTTTGATTGGTCGACATGGTGCATTTTTCCACCAACACGAAAGGGGTGGGGGGGGGGTTTGTCCTTTTTTTTTTTCTTTTTCTTTTTGCTCATAAGCAGAGGGTGCTTGCTAGCGCTGTCCTTAGACAACGTGACGAAAGTATTCAGGAAAAAACACACATATATTGTTTATCATGACTCTGGTTTTACGTGGCCTATTAACACAATTTAAAAACTGGTATATATCACCTTGTTGCTTTGTCATCTTGAAGTGGTCATGTGATTGGCTTACCACGACCACGGTACTTTATTCTTCCTCAGTCAAACAGCAGCACTCATGTGATTGTTTTACCCCCTTAGCAGCTTCAGGTGTTGTGCCAAAAAGTGTTCGTCTGCCAGAAAGCGATTGCCGTCCGCGGGAGTGCACAGTTGCTTAAAGCTGTAGTGACCAGATTACTTACAGCTACTTCCGTGCAACTGATATAAACTGGACACAGCTTCAACCATCTGTTTTTTTGAAAAATAGTAACGGACCACATTTTCTTGTTAGTAACGGTAACGGCGTTGTAACGATAGAAATAGTAATTAGTTAGATTACTCGTTACTGAAAAAAGTAACGCCGTTAGTCCCATCACTGGTTTGCTCTGGTCTTTTTCAAAAGCACTTGAAGCCCGTCCATCCATTTTCTTAACCACTTATCCACTTGATAAGCCTTGTAAGGCAGCCAAGCTCTCATTTATATCCGTTATCTCCACAGGTAATATTTTAGACCAATAAAGATCAGTAAACTGTGAGAATCACCCTCTTCACGGTAAATTCAGCTCAGTGATGTCCAGGATTAATGGACTGGGAGAAAAAACCCCTTATTTCGTGCTTTTCTTTCCTTTGGCAGGGACGTGGTAGCCAGCCACACAAACTTTCCGAGGCATCTCTTTGTTCAGTATTTTGCCAACAGTAAAAAGGAACAATCATACTTCCCAATTATACACCTGCTGTTATATTATGCTGTGTGTAGGTGGCTGTAGGAGACTAAGCACTGATTGTTTAATGCAGCAGCCTTCATCTAGAGCATACTTGAGTAATGAAACATACTGAGCCGAGCTATGGATCGCTTTTTTCACAGCATTGTGCCACTCCAACCAATAACATAAATAAAACCTGGATGAAACTGTCAGGATCGACTCTATAAATCAACATCTCACCACTTCCCGAAATTCAAATTCACACTGACGAGTGCGTCCATCACGTCCTCTGCACAGTAACACATTTCTGCCCTCCTGTTTGTGCTTTGCTGTGGTAGAAACTACAGCCTCCCGTGTACCTGCCTGTGTCTGATTTTGATGTCCCTCATCTTGCGAATTCCCTCATTAGTGACCTCCTGCCTTGCGACCTCCTGCCTGCCTCGCCAGCTGCTCCAGAGGCTGCAGTGGCCTCTTGGCAGACGTTTAGGCTGGTGCTGGCGTATTAAATAAATCAGAAAGTGCCGATTGGAAACAGAGAAAATAAAAACTGCAAAATGATGGTACCACCTGCATTAGCAGTCAGTAGTTGGTCAGTAATGTCAGTTGTATGCATACACTACAGCTACACTATTACAGCTTGACATTTTTCTCCAACAGTGTGAAACCTAAAGTTGGAGTTGGCCTCATGGTGATTGCTGTTTGTCTCCATGCGGTTCAGGATAAATGATGGCCCTAACTTTTTACCGGTGTCTTGTCTCTCAACAGTAACACAGATGTGCACACAGTAGCTTCTCTGCTGAAACTGTATCTCAGAGAGCTGCCCGAGCCCGTCATCCCCTTCCAGAAGTACGATGAGTTCCTGTCCTGCGCCAAGCTCCTGGGCAAAGATGATGAAATGGTAAGAAACATGCGATGATTGCTTTCTTTGTAACCACATCTACTGGCAAATTAGCTTTCGCACACATACGGATTTTTTTTTTTTTTTTTTAAGTTTCAACCTTTATAACAATAAACGTTGGTACTGAAAAGCCCTCACAGAAGTCTTATTCTTTGGCTTTTAATCTGCTCTTTTGCCGCCCAGTCATCCACGCTCAGCCCTGTGTTTCGCACACAATGACTTTGTTGAGTCCGTTTTGACTTTTAACATCTAAATAGGATTTCGCTCACACCATGAGGCACGGTCGGCAGCATGGCTGGGGTTAGCCTTTTGCTCCCTCAGTGT